AGGATGTGGGAATGTAGATTTAGGAAGTGATTCAAAATGAGCCTCAACTTGTCCAATTATATAGATCTCTTGTTAGGAAATATATAGAGATCTTTAGAAATTTATTTTGTGTGTGAATTCTACAATAATAATGGTGCCTAGTGTTCATTTTATGTCACGTTGTTAAACAAATTTCCAGTGAAACTCTGCCTATTCTGTAGTCTTGATTAAAATGTTTTATCCTAAAATATTGGGGCCTATTTACATGATATCATAAAATGTACTTTAGAATTAAGAGATTTTTGTAGACTGGACTCGTTTACAAAATGATAATAATTTACTCAATTGAGCACATATTATATGTTTGTATATGTATGCATATTATACATTCTGAGCATTTTCCATGTGTTGAATAACATAGTCTTCACAACCATATTATAGTTTTTATTCTCATGTGTGAGGAAACTGATGAGCAGAAGGAAAATATGTTAATGGGCTACATCTCAATACAAAAAGATTCTGATACTTGAATAATGGCCTGATTTTAACAAAATAAAATTCAGTCTGAAAAAGTACAAGGCCTTGTGCTTGGTTCTAAAACAACTGTACAAGTACAGAATAGGGAAAATGTGGTTTATCCACCAATCATAAGTGTAAAAGATTTAGAGCTTTTGTTCACAAAGAAGTCAGTGGAATATTGAGAGAGCTAAAAAGATAACGTGAATTTAGTCTGTATTGATGGGAAGCAAAATCTTGCAAGAGGGAGGCAGCAGGTCAACTTTCCTCCATTTCTTGATTATTTAATTCTTAAGACTGGTTCCACTCCATTTTACCATATTTTTTAATGTTATAAGGTATCTGGACATACTCAAAAGAAAGCAATTAAACTGGCAAGGGTTCTAATGGTGTTAGATGAAAAATGATCCCAAAAACCTGTCAGTGTTTACCACTGAGGGGGGAAAAAAAAAGTCTCGGGGATAATAGAATAGCTATGACCCATCTCTGAGAAACTGCCACAAATAGGAAGAATGACAGTATTATAGTATAACTGGCAATAATGAGTAGCAGAAGTTCCATACAGAGAGAATTCAGCTCGTAGCCTGCAAGATTTTTCTGATACTAGGAATTTTACAAGTATAAAGTAAACTGCCTTTGAAGAAAATAAATCCCTGATTTCTGGATGACTATTCAGCAGATGTATTACACAGGAGATTCAGTAATTAGTTGGTTTGACAATATCTTTGAGATGCCTTCCAATCATGTGCTTTCATTATTCTCAGCTCTTTCCTTTAGGACAGGGAAGCTTAGGCACCTGGCAGTGGCTCTGCTGTCTGCCTCAACCAGCCACAGCCTACTCAGGGACTTTGGAGAAAACCTGCCCCAAACTACAAGATTTAGGCAGAAGTAGCAAGACCTAAGGTTACAAATAAGAAGTTTTAATCCTCTTTCCTCACTCATATGTCTGTCTATTCTTACAACTCCCTCACTGTACTAACATCATCTTTCATTAAATCTTGGTCATAAATATCATAAGTTTCTCATCTCACCTCTAATGGATCGCTGCTAAGTGGAATGTCCAGAAGTTACACTCAATACGACTTTGAGATTATTTTACTAAAGCAGGTGCAGACATAGCCTCTCGGTTTTCTCCAAGTTCAAAGGCTAGATCTTACATTAAGCTCCCTGCCTCTAAAGGAAAATTAAGCTGGCTCAGGGGCATCTCTCTATCCAAAACAAAGGATCCCTGCGGTACTGACTCTCATAGCTTTAACAGGATTTTGTTTCCTTACTCTATGTGTAAAGGTGTTAATGGATAAATCATTCTTTCTAATGCAGCACAAGATGTGGTCTCTGCCTCACTAAATAATCAGATATAAGAAACATTTCGCTGTTTCTAGGCAAGAAAACTTAATACCGTTATGTCTCAAGGCTTGAGAACACAAACAGAATCCAAGCCTGCAATTATAACCTTGTGTTTCAGAATCTGCACAGCACTGTAAGAACAAGGTCCCTGCTCGGAAGGATGTGAGGTTTTGCCAGAGTGCTGTCAAAATTCCCAAACATCTTTCCACAGTGCTATATTAGTAAGTCATGCAACCTAAGGGAAAAAAAATTTTTTTTTCCAACAAGAGTAATGTTTTAGGCTAGATTTCTCTCTAGATGGCAGAGGTATTCTTAGTAGATCCAGACATATAAGACACGTGAAGACCACTTCTCTGAATGCAGAGTGACACTATTCATACAAATGGAAAGAGAAGAGGTAATAAGTTTTACTGTACTGGAGGCCACTCATTCATCCTGAATCAAAATCAGTCTGATTAGAATTGTGCCTCTGTGCTACTTGTCTCTGATTCTCACTAATTAATAAATACACAGCTTGGGCAAAGTACATAATACTCTCTAAACATTATATGCCTTTCGGTCATTTATTTCAATAACAAAATGTTATACACTCACATTGGTTAAATGTCTTCTTAATATCATTTTTATATTTTATAATAAAAGGAAAAAATCACTAAATCATAAGACACAAGATGTTTGCACTTGTAGGTGACACTGCTCTTAAACATGTTATTAACAAAAATGTCCTGACCTAATTTTACAGTGATGTATGACCTCACAGCTCTGTATTCCAAAGTCACTGTAATTGGTATTGTCATCTTAGGATATAGCTTAAATACTCCTTGCTATAATATAATTTGTGTCCTGTCCTTAGAGTGGCCTTTATTTTGAAATTCTGCCAAGAACACCATCAGAGTGTAGAGTTTGATTAAACATAGCCCCAAAGAAAGTCTTTCAAAGGATACATCTCACCCAGTTTCCATTTATAAAACATAAAGTAGCATATGCTATAAAATGATAATATATCATCTTCAAATGTAGGCTCAAAAATAACAGATGATTTGATCTTAAACTAATCAGGGAGAGGAATGCTTCCTAGAAGGAATCTTATGGTGTATCCGTGTCATATATCTCCTCAGCACCGTGGCTGGGTGGGAAGAGATATCAAACTATCCAGCTCACATAAATAATTGGTGCTCATGGTTTCCTCAGGTCTGCTTTATCTTTAGTCCTGAGATCCTCAATCACATTCATTTCTGCCCAATTTATGAGCCAATTAGAAAATATTATAGTATCTTCCAGGGAACCAGCTATTGGGATCGGATTGATTTTACAGTATCTGGTGTGCTCAATGATATCCCAAAAGACTTTTTCCAAAGAACTACAACCTTTTCCCTGAATTCCTGTAGTTTGTCAAGACTGTGTAGTTGCTCTCTGCCCACGTGTCCTGACTTCTGCTACGTAACTGAACTGATTCTGAAACCCAGTCAAAAGTTTCTTCTCTCAGTAAACTGGAGTTTTGGTCATTACAATGCTACCATCTTTCACATAAGGCAGAATGTGAAACTATAGTGCTATTATGAAACTACAATGCTATTATGAAACTACAGTGCTATTATGTCTCAAAAAGGCTACAGGGAACTTTGGACAGTCAGGGTCAGCTTCAAGCTATCCACTCTCCTATGACCCAGTTTTGGATGGCAGCTAATTCCCATCATCCGGAACCAAGACTGCAGTCAAGTGAGTTTTCTAATTCTGACCACTTGCTCCCTATTCCTTTCCCATTCCCCTGATCTATTGTGACCCCACCATATTTTTCAGTCTAGGTTTTATATATATGACATGATGTCCAATTTGAATCAAAAGAAAAAGAACAGCGCCTCCCTGTTGGTGCAAGGGGTTAAGTCTCAGCACTATCAAGCAATCACCTGCCACTGCTGCATGAGTTCGATCCCCGGCCAGGGAGATGACCCACATATGGCGCAGCAGACCTCTCCTGTCTCACCCGCTGCTCACCTCAGTGGTGTATTTCAGTAGATCTGCCTGTTCTGCTCCCCACTGTGTCTCTGGTGAATACTCTCACCCCCCATTCCCTTCACCTCTGGCCTATACCCTAATTATTATATGAATAAATAAATAAAAATCTTTTAAAAAAAAACAGATGTAAGGCTGGGAGCTACATATATTCAAGTCAAATGTTGATTTTTGCTGCTTCCTCTACCACAAACCTAGTGAGATGCTAAGCAACTAACAAAGTGTACATGGAGAGGCTATGTGTTCAGACATAGCAATCAAGAAAATTGTTTTTTTTTATTATTTTTTTTCATTCATCAGTATGTGGCAAGTTTATTAAGGAAAGTTTTTAAAAAAGGAAAGAGAGATGCTTGCATGGACACAGGCAGGCGCAGCACTGCTCCAAGAATATGATTTAAATGCTATTTTGGTCCTGAATTTGAGAAGCACTGAAATATGGCCACTACTTAATTCACACTTGAATTTTAGGTAGATCAGCTAATAAAAGCTCTTCAAAACACACTGCTATGATAGAATTACATTGTTCTTCACTATATAATGCTTCCATGACACTTTAGGGCAAGGTTAAATTGCTTTTTAAGTTATTTATCATTTTATGCTAACTGGTCCATTCATCTCCTATTACTTGGGTTAAAGAGTTGATTTTATGAGGAAGAAAATCCTGAAAGTAAAGAGGGCAAAGCTATAAATTACATTTCTAGAGAAATTTTATCCCTCTAGATAATTAAAAGTAAAAAGAAGATCTTCCATGTAGAAATATTTCATTAAATCATATGTGAGGCAGGAGAGTGAGTCATAACATTTCTATAAAATCTTTCTAGGATTTTCTGAAAAGATACGACTACTGTTTATGTGCCAGTAATTAGGAACTTATAGGAATTATGGTTTCATGCAACAATACTCTGGCTCAGTTTACTTATCAACCAGGACCACAAGGAATGCTCCATCACTTTCATATTTATAAATAAATATGCCAACATCCAGTTTTTCATTGCAAGACAAGTCTTTTGGACAGTGACAAATTTTAAATCCCTCTGGGAACAAAGGTTCAGTGTGAGGCTCTGTGGTGAGTCTAATTTGGATTCCATTTCCTCTGACTCTAGGGAATTGGGGAGGTGAGTGTGAAATGACTTTGGTTCCTGACACCAGTTGCGTAGATTTATTTTCAGTGATTGATTAAAAGATCACATGATGTTACTAAGCACTGCAATGCTGCATCAATCTTCAAGAGAGCTGAAACTGCCATTGATTCTTCCCTGCTGTCTTGGGAAGCAAATCCTGAAAGAATACATCTAACCATTAACAGTGTAAGCAGAGTTAGTAGTTGCTTCAATTGCTGAGCGATGGTGGGGTGTGAAAAAAAGCAGATTCAACAAGCCCATTTCACAGAATTTTTGGTTAAAGAAGGCTTTTGTCTCATTTTCTTGGTCAATTAATTTAAATTTAAGTACAGAAAATATAAATGACCACTGCAGTTAAGAAAGGGATGCTGGGACCTCCCTGGTGGTGCAGCAGTTGAGCGCTGGGTTGCAAAAGCTGCTCACAGCCTCTGCAGCACGGGTTCAATCCCGGGCCGCTAGGAGAGGGTCCCACATGGCGGCGTGCAGACCTCTCCTGCCCCCTGCTGCTCCCCTCAGCAGTGTACCTTGGTCCCTCTGCCTGCTCTGCTCTCCCCTCTGGCTCTGGTGAATTTTCTCACTCTCCCCTGCTTCTGACTGTACCCAGTGCTTGTATAAATAAATAAAAAAATCTTAAAAAAAAAAAAAAGGATGTTTACTAAAAAATGTGCAAATCATTTGAGATTTACCTTATGCTACTTTTATGTACATGGGGGGGGGTGTTAATTATTTTCTCTGTTATTTTAATTACAAAGGACATGCTTGCTGCTATAAAAAAAAGTTAAACATTATATTGATGTTTATAAGGAAAAAGTGAAAATCTCTACCTGTTACCTAGAAACTCTCTGGGATGGTGTTACAAAAATACAAGTTTGGGATTTAAAGGAAATGAGAGAAGACAGAAAGATTTAGGTGGTGGCATGTGCAAAATTCATTCTATAAACTCAAGTATAAAAACTAATATTTTTCTCTTCACCCACTTAACTCACAGTAAGATCCCCATGCTTTAGAATCAGGTCTTCCCTTAATCACACCCTGTCTTCTCCCTCAAAGTTGGGAAAATGTGAGCTTACAGAGTGACAAAGCTTTGGGAAGAACAGTGGCGGCATCTTGTTCTCATCCTTATTAATCTTTCCACTAGCATCCACTAATTTGACTCCTGTCTAACATGTCCTAGATCATGGATTCATTAAGGCCCCTCCCTGAAGAGCCCTTGAAGGTTCAATGGACTCCTGGACTGATCATTACAGTAAGTTCCTACTTAATGCCATTGATAGGTTTTAGCAACGGTGAATTTAGGTGAAAGGATTACATGTAACAAGCCAATTCTACTATAGGCTAATTGTTATAAACAAGAGTAAGCTCCTCTGGCATATTTCTGATATCCCAAACTTTTAAATAAATACCCCAAACATTTCTAACATTAAACAATTTGCATTCACTCAATCATTTATTTTCTTTCATTCATTTTCTAATCCACTTATTCCAGTTCAGGGTCACGGGTGCTGGAACCTGTTCCAGCAGCTCATGGCACAGGTAGGAACCAAGTCTGGGGGCTATTACATCCCAGGGTGCACTCACGCACTCACCCACAGACACTGAGCCTAGGACAAATGAAACACAGCAACAAACCTACTGTGCACATCTTTAGGATGTAGGGAGACACCTGGGTACCCAGAGAAAACCTTTACAGAGAATGTGCAAACTCCACACAGACAGTGGAATCAATTTTTCCCTTATTAACATTATGAAGAATTCAAGTTAAATAAAACATTATTATTTGAACACCTGCAGGTTTCTGGCCTAGCCTAGATAGTTCAGGAGTCCTTCTCCAACTCCTAGTTGTCCTCACTCTGAAGTTGACACAGTCCCATCTCCCTAGACACACCCATAGCCACTTCCTTTTTGGAGAGGGGCCCAGTCCTCAAGTTTTTCAGATATTCAGTTCTATCTGCAGCCTCTCATTAGCATAACCTGGTCTTAGCCTGGCTTTGCTTCAAGATATCTAAAGGGTGGAATCTCAGTCTCTTTCTTACAAACCCATTTAATATGGGTTTACTGGGCCTCCCTAGTGACACAAGGGTTTAATAAGCACCACACTATGAAGCAGTACGAAGCCTCTGCGGCACGAGTTTGATCACTGGCCAGCCAAGGAGCAACCCACATGGCGCGGCAGACCTCTCCTGACACGCCCACTGCTCCCCTCAGCAGTGTACTTCGGTCAATCTGCCTGTTCTGTTCCCCACTCTGTCTCTGTGAGTCCTCTTACCCGCCCCCCACCACCACACCTCTGGCCTGTGCCCCAGCTCTTATATGCATAAATAAATAAATAAATCTTTAAAAAAATAATAATATGGGTTTATTATTAATAACAATAATATAGTATTGTTCCAAAATGTAATTTAATTTCGTAACCATATAGCAACTCAGTTTGCTTCTACCTTTTTGCTGTTTAAAGGACACTGCAGTGTACATCCTTATACACATTTCCCTGTGCATCTCCAAAGTATTTATACAGCAGAGATACCTAAAAGTGGAATAATTAGGTGAAAGAATAAGGGCATTTAAAATTTTCCAAAGTTTTCATCAATTACACACCTACTACTGTGGAGAATGTTATAATTTTGAAAATGTTTGCCAATATTTAGGGGGAAAATATTATTTACCTGTTATTTTAATTTGTGGTAATCATATTTCTAATATGACAGAGCTTGTATTTTCTCAACACTTCTACACATTTTCTTAAATTTACCTCCTTATTTGTTGACCTTTGTTATTGATGTATACATATTCCTTGACAATTAGTGATATTAACTTTTCAGTCTTTTATATACATGGGAAATATTCTCTCCTAGTCTATCACATACTTACATGTTTGCTCCATATAAAATGACTTCTGTAAAGTCATACCTATTATCTTTTCCTTTTTACTTACCACATTTCCAGTGTTAGAAAGTTTTTCTTAGTTTTCATCTAGAATGGTAATACTGAAACAGAAAGAAGCATTTGTAATTCAAAAATGTTTAGGAGGCAAAATCAGTAGGGCTTTAAGATGAGTTGGAATTGGATGAGGAAAGAGATGGATGTATGGAGAAATGACTCCACAGTTTCTAGCCTCTTCACCAGGATGGAGTGGGGTGTAGAATAGGGGGAGAAAAAGGAGTTTGTTCCTGACATTATCAGTCATTGAGAATGGAGTGTACCTGTAGCTGATGACAATGAAACCAACCTGGCAGTAGAACATTACACAATGTACAGTAGTCGAATAAAAATGAAAATTAAATTGGTTAGTTGGACGTAGAAAAATGGTAGCTGAATTTCAGGCAGTGATATTCAGAATCTTATACAACTAGGTTGTGTGATCACTAACTGTGTGATTTGTTAAAATACATAATTATCTGTCAGAGTTGTCTTTTTCATTTTAAAAGTGTGAAATTGTATCTATTCATAGGGTTCTTGTGAGGGGTAAATGAGATTGAGATAAGATTGGTGAAGTGTCTAGTTCAATAAGTGCTGAATAACTTTTTTATCTCATGAGTAGGGGAGGGAGAATTAAGTTCCCATTTTCAAGCTGATCTGAGTGGCAACATTATATTGTTCATCACATTCTCTATTTCAGAGATTTGGGAAAAGAAAGGCAGAATTAGATAATATATCTCCAGTCAAAGATTTCTGTTAACAAAATCTGTTCCCTGAGTACTAATCCAGCAGGCAAGCAGTCTTTTATCCTTGCACAGTCTACAGTAATGTAGATTTTGAAACTGAGATTAAAAATTATTAACCTGCTTTATTAAAGTTGTCCAAATTGTCTCCACATAAAATACAAGTGAGTTTTCCATTCATTTTGACAATATCCCTAAATATATGGAGCATTGCAGGCATGAAAATTTCCAGGCTGTCATAAATTGGTTTATGCTAAGGAAACCACCAGTTTATTAGCTACCCCATGTCAAAATACTTAAGAAAGCATAACTGACAAAAAGTAGGACAATAGGCCTGAGCATACAGACTCCAAGGTTATGATTCAGATTCTGGCTTCTCATAGACAATCAGGAGATCTGACAAAACCAGGTCTTTTTCCAATTCTCCAGTTCACATAGTCCCTACCACTTCCTATATGATACCATATGTTCAGTCCTTTGTGCTCACTTACATTACCTGCCTCGACCCTGAATTCATCCATTATCCATTAACATTTATTTCACTAACAGCCATAATAAGAAATAAGAACTTGGACTCTGGAGCCAGATCACCTGGATTCCAATGCTGGCTCTTATCTGTATTGTCTGACCATGGGCCAGTTATCCAACCTCTCTAAACTTTAGTCATTTTCCTCTGTAACATGGCGGGGGGGATTATTAATATTTAATATGAAAGTTGTCATATGGATTAAAAACACAGAGATAGACAGAGAGGGAGAGATACAGTTAGCTAGCTAGCTAGGTAGGTAGGTAGACAGATATCCTGTAGGTACCCTCCTTAGCTATTTTTCTAAAGATTTCAGCACATAAAATTGGGTGTCTTCAGGGGTTCACCTCTCTCAGAAAGTCACTAAAGAAAACATCCTCCATTCCCTTGAACTTCCATTAACCAGGATTTATGAAACTAACACATCAGCATACCTAGACTTCAGAAGTTCCAACTCATGTTTTCTGCTTTTTCCTCCAGAGAACCACTCAAATCTAGACTCTATAAAAGCATAGATAGGGCCCATATAAGCAACTCTAAAGAGGTCAGCACTTTGATGTAATTTCATTGTTTTTGAGATGATATTAGTTATCAGCCATTTCCTTATCTCATTCATCCCATTTAAAGTGTTTCATTCCTTCATTTTCCTTGAATTTAAACTCTGCACCATATTGTTATGTTACAGTAACATATAGGTTCATTGGAATTTTTTTTTTTAATTTAAGGTAGAACTGAGCTGGAGAGAAAAAAAAAATCACCTAAAACAAAGAAAAGAAACAAAAAAAATTTTCTTCCTCAGTAAGTCCTTCATTCCTCTCCCCAACATGACTACTTTATCAGTTTCAGATTATATTCTTCAAAACGAAAAAAAAAAATAGGTTTACTCTAATATACATATATGTGTTTTTGACCTTTTCCCCATTTTTAAAAAGATTTATTTATTTAGTTAGTTATTTCTGTGTAGAACTAGGGTGTAGGCTAGAGATGCGGGGGTGAAATGGGGGAGCAGAACAGGTGGATTTATTGAAATACACTGCTAAGGGGAGCAGCGCAAGACAGGAAAGGTCTGCTGTGCCATATATGGGTTAGCTCTCTGCCTGGGGATAGAACTCAGGCCATCGTGGTGGGCCATTAAGGTGACAGCACTAAGACTTGACCCCTTGGCCACCAGGGAGGCCCCATATATTTATTTTTAATTACAAATGGAATCATATGACACACCTTTTCCTGTGTAACTTTACATGCATGTATATCATATCAACATTTCATTAATTGCACAGTGTTCTACTGTATGAGTTATTATGCATTTATGTAACCAAGCCTCTGTTGCTGGACATTATAAATACATTACAATGTGTGTATCACACATCACTTATATGTCTTGACCTACTTTTCCTCCCATACATCTTGGGAGCCTGAACTAAGTCAGTAACAGTGAAGCTGGTGAGACAAAGGGCATATGAAATAGAACATATGGGGTAAGAAGTTGAGGGCAATTTCCAGATTATTTTTAAACAAATCGTTTATGTGGCATGGCATCCACTAAACTAAAAGAAGCCAGCGTAGAAACTAGTTTTCCTAGGAAACATAATGGCTTCAGTTTTTTACAGGTTAGGTTTCAGTTGTCCATAGGGCATCCAGCTTGAGCTTTCCAGTAAGTAATTAGATATAATTGCCTGAAATTCAAGAAACATATCTCAACTGCCACGTTCATACTGTAGCAGGCTGTGAAAATAGACAGTGTCAGAAATTAGTAGCCTTGTCTAAAAAACACTTAAAGTAAAATTCTATATGAGTTAGAAAGAAAGCTGAAGAACATGATCCTATTATTGTTTGAATGATAATACCTACAAAATAGAAGACTTTTCATCTTGAGGCAATTTACTCTGTTTAAGTCATATTTCATGTACTAAGATAAATTTATATCATCTGATATTTATAGCTTTTTTTCTTAAATTTGGTCAGAAAATATTAATTTCATGGAAAAGAACATCCTTTTATGCTCTATATTTTGTTTCTGATCCACAGCAGCAGTTAGAGAAAAATTCTCTGAGCAGGCTGAAAGAGCATCCGGTACTGAAACTGCACACCCTACGTTATAAAATTCTTATGAAAACGTAGCAGTCAGAGATGGAACCAGCGTCAGGTATAGAAGCTCCACATAAAATGCTGGCTTTTAAGGTTGTCCCTTGAGTGCTTTCTAACTCAACTTTAGTCTAACCAAATCACGAGAGAATCGAAGTATTTATCTACTCAAAAAGCCAGGTCCTATTCCAAAACCATTCTTGAAGGCAAAAGATCCTCTACTTATTCCCAGGAATCCCCTTTCTAGCTAACTTCACAGACCTGTCAGTCAGCAGCGAGTCACCTTTGTTTGCACCGCCCCAGTCACCTGGGGCGAGAACTCTAATTGTACGGACAGGGAAGAGCAGCAGGCATCTGACTCTGCCTAGGGATACTTTTTCTCATTTCTTGCACAGCAAATTTATAGTGTAGAAAATGAAATTTTTTCCCCAGCTCAGTTTTAGCTTAGAATAAAAACATATAGTACACTTGAATTATTGTAAAATACTGGTTGTGGTAGAGCACATAAAAACACATGATCTGGATCTGACATTTAGCTCTCACCTTCCTTTTCTATACTGCATAACAGTTGGACAAATTTCTCTTACTAAAAAGGGACACAGGCAGTTGAATGCAATTTAATAATCTCCAGCCCAGCATCATGCACCTGGGGGAGAGCAATAAGTATTACTGTTGATGAAGACACTGATAATTTGGTACCTACTTTCCAATCTCGAGAGAAAAAAAGGTCCTATACATTTATCAATTCTAATAGGTGATACAACCAAGCAGGTCTTTGTGACAACACAGTGACTCATCCATATGAGTTGGAAGAGGTTACTAAACTGAAGCTATTGACAATTCTTTTAGGTGAAAAAAATAATACTATTTGTTTAGATGAAAATGTAGAAGATGAATACAGCAGTACAGAATTTGCTAACAAATGCTGATAATTTTAGACCAAAATATATTTTCTGAAGTTAACATTAGCTTGTTACAGTTTCTATTAAATTATTGGGATATTAATATTTATTTATAAATACAAGTTTCCTAGATTGTGAGGTTGAAAATGCATAGTAATTGAGAGACTAGAATAGTATTTATCAAAGTATGATAATATATTGTGTACCAATCACACTTTGTACATAAAATCTGTAGAAAATTCTCTCTGTGGGACACTGAACAGGTTTTAATCAAAGTCTTCTATTACATTTCCTTGCAACCTCCAGTTGAAGTATGCTCAGATAGCTCCAGATAAATACTCAGGAAAAAATCAAAGTGAAGAACGTATTCAGAGAAGTTTCCAGTGGACACTTATCAAACTTTCTCCCAGTCAATTGAGATTGGCTACTATTACATAAGAGAGAGATTTCAATGGCCTGTGTGCTACTGTATTTCAAGGTCAGCTTCACTCTAATAGAAAATGCTTTTGAACACTGAGCTGATATGCTTTCATCAAAATATAATAGACCTCTGCAATCAAATTCCATCCAGAGAATTTTCTGGGCACAATTTAAAGTGTGGACAAAAAAAATTTAAACTTAAGTATACAGGATTCAATTACCTGTGGAAATCAGAACTCATCATCTATTACACCATCTAAAGGATCATCAAAGATCTTGGAGAAGCACTCACAGTGGCAAAATCAGCCTGAGTTCATGATTTCTCAGTGTCTATTAGCAGTAAATTGTGAATCGTATCATTTTGGTTCCATCATTTTTAAATTCAAACTGACAGATATTTATAATAAAAAAATAAGTGCATAAGAGGGAATGAGAACATCAAAGAAAACAAAAAGTGAATGCCACAATTTATAATCTGCTAGAAGAAATTTTAACTTACTGGCTTGCATTATGAGTTCTGAGAAATAAGAGAGAGAATTTAGGAAAAAATAAACAGATTTCACATTACAAACTTGTCAAATCAGATATCATTTAACAATTATTACCTCAAAGATGCATTAGCTAATATTCACCCTAAGCCCTAAAGAATGAACCTTAAGTAAAATGTCCCTATAGTAATCAAGCTCTATCCAAAAAACTGAAGCCAACCTAGGTCTTTAAATCAGAAAAACTTAATGTAGAAAATTATTTCAAAGATGATGCAATTGTTGAGAAACAAAACAGAGGCAAGAAAGGCAACCAGAGACTGGCAACAGCAGGAAGCCACTACCACCTTAGGACAAGAGAGAGGAGGTTGTTAATGTTATTCACCTAGCGGGGGCCAGAGCCACAGTGAAAATGGCTTGGTCAGAACTAGTTGCTCAGAGTAAAGGACTTCTTGAAGAGAACTGGAGTTACAGAGAAGCAACCAGTGATAGAGACACCACAGAAAGCAAAAGGAAAGGGGCTTAAACAGTCAGATTTCCCTCCATTTTCTGCCGGGATTAGTCTTTGACCAGTGCCTGAGTCTTTGACCAGTGCTGCCTGTATTAGTCTTCTTGGGACGTCCATATTCTGGGTGGCTTGAAACCTAGAAATTAAGTTCTTCACAGTTCTGGGGAAAAAGAAATCCAAAATCAAGGTTCCTGGTGAGAGCATCCTTCCTGATTTATAGATGACTATCTTGGCTTATACATTGCCACTATGACTCAGATGGCCTTTCCACAGGGTATGAACATAAGAGAGAGAATGAAAGACAGTAAGCTCTCTGGATTCTCTGAATTACCATCATGCCCCACAAAACAACTTTTCAATCAATGACTGTCAACCTTCTGATGGCGGTCTCAGAATTCCTATTGCCTAGTGATGTCATAACCATCATAATGCCACAGCATTTTCACCAGGCAGTGGCCTCATACTGCTCAGGTTTGCAGTCTCTTGGTAGCATTGTTTCCTTTATGCTTGATTTTATCTCGTGTTGTATTTTTCATCATGCTCTCTAAGCAGACAAAATTCACTGCTAATGTTGCCAATAAGAGGCTCTGTCAAGACTGACCTGGAAATTAAATTAAAAGTGATTAACGACTATGAAACAGGAAAATCAGTAGCCATTTCTCTCCAGTCAGGCATGCTCCATTCCACTATAGCTTTGATCTTGAATAACAAGAGCAAAGTGATGGAAATTGTTAAAGGATCTGCACTGAAGACGAGATTAACAAAAATTTGAGAAGGGTCTGTGTCAGATATGGAGAAACTTCTAATGGCGTTGGTTGAAGACCAGACTTAGAGGGTTTTCCCTCTCAGCAACATGATGATAGTGACCAAAACAAAAATGTTTTTCTGTGATCTTGAAAGAAAACACTGGACACAAACAACTATGATGATGAATTTACTGCTAATTCTGAGTTGTTTAAATGATTCAAGAATCATTGTTCATAACAGATTGTGAAAGTGAGTGGTAAGTGTTGTGAGTGCTGATGTAAGATGTCGAAAAAATTTTGAAAACTCTAGATTAGCTGATTTTAGAAGATTGTACTTGCCATAGCAAATATTTAATGTGGATGAAACATCCTTTTTCTGGAAATGGAAATCTAAACAGACTTTCATCCTTAGGGAAGCCAGGTCAGTACCAGGTTTCAAAGTTTTTAAGGACAGGCTAACAGACTTGCTTAGAGACAATGTTGTATCTACTAGTTAAAATGTTTTGTAATCTGGCACAGTGAAAACCCCAAAGTCTTCAGGTATATCAGTAAGTTTACACTACCAACATATTATAGAAACAATAAGACATAAATGACTCAGCTCCTCTTTCAAAATGCCCCCAGGACTTACTTGAATTCCAGCAAAAAAAAGCACTGTTTGGAGAATAACAAGCCTTCCAAGATTTTGCTTGCTGTTGATAATGCTGCTTGGAATCCTTTTATTGGTCATCTTTTTTCCAATATTGAAATGACCTTTCTCCCCAGTACCACCTCTTTGATCCAACCATGGGATCAAGGAGTTATAGCAGCTTTTAAGGCCTACTGTCTGAAGAGATTTGTAAAGGCTACATCTACAGATTTGTATAATGATGAGATTACCTGAAGATGAATTTCTAAAAATGTTTCACCAGTGGCATTACTGAATAAAGACCCCACCCCTATAACTGCACTTGACCTTAATTACTTTCTTAAGGGCCCCATCTCCAAATACACTCACATTGGGGATTAGGGTTTCAGTGTACGGATTTGAGTGTGGTGGATGGGTACATTCAACACATAAGACTGCCTTTGACTGACTCTAAAGAAATGCCAGGGGTCAATGGACCTGAAAAATGTCCTGAGATACAGGAGAGAGAAGTAGTAGGTGTTAACCTGCAAAATTTCATAATCATTTCAGTATTTTTAATGGAACATGGAGGAAAAACAAATAGTAAATAAGAGAGCACTTAACATGGTGAAATATGCCTGCCTTTGTTACTCTAATGGCAGATGAGTGTATGTCAGCTGATTTGATCAAGTTCTTGGCTACAGTGGTACAAAATATCGCTCCCAAAGTTTAAATGTTTGTGATGACTGCAGGCTGAAGCTTTGTGTAATTTTTGTTCCTAGACAACAAAGATTTATCTGCCTGAGGAAAAAATAAACTGTCATTTTATTTATAGGAATAACATGAAAATAGGATTCTATTGTAATAAGGTGGAAAACATACTATTCCTCACTGAAATAGGACCAAGCCACAAAATACATAAAAGAAAACACAGATGAGACTTATCTGGACATCAACCACAGAGTTGTATTTGGGAACACAATTTCAACAGCAGGGGAAACAAAAGCAAAAATAAATACATTGGAAGGCATCAAACTAAAAAGGTTTTGTATCTTGAAAGAAACTACCACAAAACAAAAGGGCAACCTATGAATCAGAGAAGATATTTGAAAATCACACCTCTCACAAGAAGTTAATTTCCAAAATTATAAAAACCTGATACAAGTTAACAACAACAGAAAATAATAAATAAACCTATCAAAAAGTGGGAAAGAGACCTACATAGGCAATTCTGCAAAAAATGTATTCAGGGCCTCCCCGGTGGCGCAGCGGTTGAGTGCTGGGCTGCGAAGCTGCCCACAGCCTCTGCAGCGCCGGTTCGATCCCCGATCCCCGGCCCAAGGGCCCCACATGGCACACAGACCTCTCCTGCTGCCCACTGCTCCCCTCAATAGTGTACTTCGTCACTCTGCCTGTTCTACTCTCCACTCTGGCTCTGGTGAATTCTCTCACCCTCCCACACCTCTGACTGTACCCAGTGCTTGTATAAATAAATAAATCTTAAAAAAAAAAGTATTCAGATGGCTTATAGACACATGAAACCACGTGCAATATCACTGAATTATGAGGGAAATGTAAATCAAGACCATGAGGTATCTAGTCACCTCTATTAAAAAAAGACTGGAAATAAATGTTGGTGAGGATATAGAGAAAAAGGAATATTCATCCACTGCTGGTGAGAATGTAAATTGGTGCAGCCACTATAGAAAACAGTATGGAGATTCCTTAAGTACTAAAAACGGAAATACCATACAATCCAGCTACACCATAGCAAGATATTTACACAAAGAATATGAAAACTCTAATACAAAAAAGATTTATATACTTCTATGTCCATAGCAGCATTAGCCAAATCATGGAACCAACCTGAAGGCCATCCACAGATGACAGAACAAAGTGGGGAATATATATATCTATTCAATGGAAACTATTCAGCTATTAAAAAAGATGAAAATAGTGGACAAAATGGATGGATCTACAGATGATTATGCTAAGTAAAATAAAAATTGAAAGATAGTTACCAAATTCTTTCATTCATTTTGTGGAATATAAATAACCAAAGAAAACAATCTCACAACGCATAGCAAAATTTATTCTTAGTTTTTGTGAAAAATATACTGGTCACCAGAGGTAGAAGGGAAAGGGAGGAGAGTAGAGGAAAGAAGTGGATAGGATGTGGGCACTGGAGCCTTGGTCCAGGGACAGTGATTCATGTGGCCATGTGGAGGTGTGATGTTGTACTCCCAAATCATATCATTATATAAATGATTGACAAATTAATGAAACTTGAGAATAACCAAAAAAGAAAGTCTATCATCAATGCACAAAAGGTAAGTCTTTCATCTACAGCAGTACCTTAGATCTAGTAAGTCACATGCAATTCAAACATGAGAGCACAAACCTTATTTCTGGTTAAAATGCTGGCCTTGCAAATTTTCATAACAGAGGCTCTAACTGTTGTGCAGGTCAAAAAGCACTATTGGGTTAAACTTGAGGGACACTGTTTCAGGAAACAAAGGAGGAAATGCATATGGTTAATCAAAAACAACAATCAATTCATGAGAAAAGTACAAAGGCCTTTTAAGTGGGTTTTCCTAGAACTCAGCCACTACCTATTTAACTCTGATCTCCATGAAAGAGCCAAGACATGGCAATATATGTCAAAAGCCTTTAAAAGTTCATATATTTTGATCCATTGATTTCATTTCTGGGAACCAAAGGAAATAAAAAGTCTACAAAAGCTTTGCACATAAAACTGTGCATTAAGTCATTATTTATAATACTACAAAGAAGAAACATTCTAACACTTTGACAGTAAGAGAACGCTTATAGAAGCTAAGATACAGATATATAAATGGACTGTTAAATAACCAATAGAAACTGTGATTCTAAAGAGAACTTATGGTGAGCCACTACAGAGCAATTTTAATGAAAAAATAAGGTTAATATTCAGCAAATACTACTAGGCAGGCTACAAATGCTGCAATTGCTAATTACTTTTTTTAGTTTTAGAATTTGGGATGTATTTTTCCCCTTCAAATTTTCTGTGTTGCAATTTTTTTCTCCATTTATACTCTAATACTTCAGGGCATAAAACTATATGAAAAAAAAAAATTAGTGCTACTACCTAACACCTTTCATCTCATTCAATATCTCTCCTTGAGTTCACACAGCAATTTTGGAAGACAAAGATATGAAAGCTCAGGTATGAATTTTCCCAGCACTTACTGCTTTCCTAGCCTTTACAACTAATTCAAATTATCTATTGAGAATCTGTTATCTGTTGAGCGTCACATTAATGCAATAGGAAACCCAAAGAGGCATGCCATGTCCCTAATTTAAGATTACAATTTGACTAGAGATAACGTCATAAACTAGAAATAAAAATTAGGGAGTATAATAACCTTTAATCTGATACCAAGATACTCTATAAACAAAATCTTTCAGTATAAATAACACATTTTAAATTGCAATCCATACATATATACACTGGAAATAACATATCACAGTAAACATTTGCTATCACTATATTTAATGAAAACTGATATTCTCAATATATTCTTATTCTGTACTATTACATTAAAAGCATACTAGAGACAATCCACTAAATTGATTCCATGAACTTCAGCTGGCTCCAGAGTTTTTAAAAAACACCTATCTATAGTCAGTAAATTCTATGAAATGCTTTAAAGGAAAAAGATCAGTATAATCTCTATAAATTACAGCAGATCCTTCAATAACATTGTTTTGTGACAAAGTTGATGAGAAAGAATCCTGGGCAATGTTGAACAAAATGAGTTATATGAAGACCTGGTTTGATTGTAAGGCCTTTGACTTAAAGCCACAATTTTCAAGAACCTATCTTCAACGATAAGTGAGGACTTACTATAATGAAAAAACTGAGTTTGGAAAAGCAGTCAAAATAGTGTGTAAAAGGAACAGATAAAATTAATCTGATAGAATCCTCTGAATTTGAGATAGTGTTTACCTTGAGGACCATTCAAATGTACAGCAGTATAG